CAAACAATAAAACTTTGTATCTACATGCTATCATACATACATACATACATACATACATACATACATACATACATACATACATACATACATACATACATACATACATACATACATATATATGTATGCATATATACATATATATATATATATATATATATATATATATATATATATATATATATATATATATATATATATATATATATATATATATATATATATATATATATATATATATATATATATATACACTCACACACTTGAGTTAAGTAAACCTTAGCAATTTTCAGCCCTAACTATTGCAGCTAGTAACTCTATTTGTTGCAGTAATTAGATTTGACAGTAAACTAAATATTACTATGGTAATTTAGTCATTAATGACGCAATTGCTACTGTGGTAAGTCAATTGTTACTAATGTAACAGGGAAAAAAAACTTGTAATATTATATTCAAGACATGATAAATTTTGTTTCTCACATAATATATTTTAGAGATGAAGGCGGCAACTTTCAAATATTTAAAGATAATTGAATGATATAATGTTATTATTTAATCAAAACTTTTTTTAACCGACACAAATGAAATACACAAGTATCTTACATCACAAAAATACAATTTAACATATATACGAACACCAAATATCAAAATAAGGTTTTTTTATACTTACTGTACATTAGCATTTCATGATGAACTTGCTTTTTTATTTGGATTAACAGCATTTGATCTATCAAAGCTATTAAAATTTATTTTTTATACCAAAAAATGTTCGATGAAATTTGTGTAGCCAATGATTCTGCTTGTCATTATATTATGTTTTCGTAAAAGCTGTTTTTTATTTGTTTTGTTTTTTTCGTTTTGTTTTTAAAACTGTTTTTACATTTTTGTTAAATTTTTTTTTGTTTAAATAAAATGAATCTTTAATTTGTCTCATTCAAATCATGAAATACCCATTCACACACATAAACACGTGGACTTACTAACCAAACCTTTTTTCCTTCTACAGACGATTGCGAGACGCTAGACAGCCCGACATTAGACAATGACGGAGCTCTGACGTCTGACGAAGTTAGTCCGACTGTACTCGACACTTATCGACAGCAAGCTTTGAGCATGCCGTCGAAAAAAAGAAGATATAGAACAACTTTTACGACGCATCAACTTGATGAACTTGAAAGAGTGTTCAACAGGACACATTATCCAGATATATTCCTGAGAGAAGAAATGGCTGTAAAATTGGGATTAACAGAAGCAAGGATACAGGTAAATTTTTCATACAATTTGCAATTGCAAGAAAAAGGGAAACCTTTTTTTTTAATTTTAATTTGTAAATATAAAGAGTTCGATTATCATTATAAGTCGTAGTACATATCCTGTAGTATGCATATAACGTTATAAGATTTTTGAACGTCCATTATTGAAATCATGTCGTCAGAATTTACGCCATCCATAAATCGAGTATGGCTATTACATGTAGCGCGCATAATTTTTTTTTTTTTTGGTATAAAATTAGATTTTATTTTGAGAATTTTTTAAGGCAGTTTGTTAAAATTAAAATACATATTGCTGCAAATATTTTTTCAAGAATTTGAAAAAAAAGTGGAATGGACAGATGAGGGGAATGTTTTTTAACGTTAGGCCAGTCACCTTTTTTTTTAAGAATTTTTTTATGTTTTTAGTTGATCAGAAAACAAAAATTAATTAAGATGAATAAATTTTCTTGATTCACAAATTTGTTTTTTTATATATTAGAAAATTTTCTTAGATTCTTTACTAAACAATCAAACATTAATTACAAATGCAATAACTACAAATACAACTCAAACGGCAGTTCAGAAAATAGTTCGATCATTACCTAGTATACAGGCGAATATTACTTAGTATACAGGCGCTGATTTGTTAATAGTCATTAAATAAGCTGACGGTTATTCATTAGAACAATATTACGTGAGCTAATGTAATATGGTGGTGTAAGCTAATGTTAGTAAACTAGTTGGATTGTTTTCTGTCTAAGACTATCAACGCTATACCTTCTGTCTAAAATTATCAATACTATATCTTCTGTTTAAGATTATCAACGCCATCTTCTGTCTGAGATTATTAACGCCATATCTTCTGTCTATAAGTATTAACGCCGTATCTTTTATCTAAGATTATTAACACCATATCTTCTTGACTCATTTTATTGATACTTACAAAAGCCACAAAAGTATTTTTTTTTTGTTAGGGAAATAAATTTAAAACATAAAGCTAATTTCTTCGCATTCATACTTTTTCAATTGAAGTTGCTTTGCAAAAAAATTGAGCATTTGCAGCCTGAGAAAAACAAAACACCTATTTTTTGCTCTTTTAAAACAATAAGTTTCAATATGAAAAATGCTGTTAACTCTCACATGGATTTAGTTAATTTTTTTTCATAAATATTTATTGTTAAACAGTTCAATGATTTTGTATTTTATCGTTAAAGTTTTTCCTCACTTTAACCTTTTTGTAGCTTGTGGTAAAGACGACATTTTTGTTACAGTATTTCCAAAGTTGACAACGTGTAAATTTTTAAAGGTTGACGTTGCATTGATCTGGTCTATTATATCATTTTATAATTTTTAATCTTTATAGAATTCTTCACTTACCCAAAACAAGCAGTTCTTTAACTAATTAGTCTATTGACTAATATTGACTCTAACTAGTTAATAAAACAATAGATTTGGGTAATGAATAATTTAATTTTAATTTTAAAAAGCTAGAACATGACTAGTTTAAAAAAAAATGCATTTACCACTCAACTAGTGTGTAGAGCTATTAAGTATAAATTTTTGTTAGCTCAACTGCATAATCAATGCACATGTTCCATCAACCTTTTCGGTCACTCGCATAATCAATTAAGTTAGAGTGTACTATTTAAATCAATTAAGGGTGCACTATTTAAATCAATTAAGTATAGACTACTACTTAAAATACTATTTGAAAAAAAAGGTGTAAACGCACTGTTTATAAAAGGGTATCGAACCACAAGAAATGTTTTAGCACGGTTTAGTAAATAGAACTTAAAATACTATATAGTTAATTATAACAATCACATAATGAATCGAAACATGCACAATGCCAACGTTAACTTGATTAATCAATTTGATAACCACCCAGAGGTATGAACAAAAATAGCAAGTGCGTTAGATTAAAATTGCGTCAAATAATTGTGGTTTTTACTGCTTGACTAATTGAACAATTCTCAGACAGTATTTAGCTGGTTTAGCCGTAAAAATGTTGGGTCAGCAAAACAGTTAATAAAATAGGAAATCACTGCATTCTTATGCATAAAAAACAAAAAGTATTTTTAAACAAGTTTAAAAAGACTTTTTGTTTAGTATGTAAAACAATTTTATTAATCGGTTGGTCTGGTCTGGTAATTGTAGAGTTATTTAAATAAAAATAAGTATAAGTTTTTAAGTAATTATTTAGAAAATAGTTGATATTTTATTAGGTGTGGTTCCAAAATCGACGTGCAAAATGGAGAAAACGCAACAAATCAACTTCTTTGTCTAGTCCAACATCGCCTCCCCCACTTCCTCAACTTAACAATTACCTTAAACCCTATACCCCCACTCAACCATCCACACCTTTTAATAATAGTATATCGAATTCACTTTTTTTAAAATCTCTTAACCATCCCTCTCAAACTGAGAAATTTAACAGGTTTAATGGAAGTCTGAGTACAAAGCTTGAGCCTTGGTATGAAAATAATATTCGATACATTCATCGCAACATATACAACTATGATTCCAGGAGCATAAATAATGGATATCGTTTAATAGATAAAGATCAACCGCTGTCGTGGTGGCCTGTTCACGGACAACCAGTATAAATCAATTGTTTAAATTTTGATTTAGATATATGTTTCATGTTAGACTTTCGTTAAAATTGTATTTGTTTTAATGTATTGCCTTTTCGAAGCAGTTTTAATGTATATTGTTTTGGTATAGTAAATTTAGTGTGAGTACTAACTTGTTTTAATACATTTTAGTATTAATACTAACTTTGTCTTGTCATTTTAGTTGTTGTTTAACAGTTTATTAATAACGCAGTAATTTTTTTAAAATAATTTTTGTCAAAAAAGTTTTGTAAAAGTATTTTTTGGCTTGCATAAATTTACATTTTTATTTAAATTTTATAACAATTAAAAATTAATATCGAATCGATCAATTAAAAGTTTAGCAATGAACACTCGTAATTAATTTAAATAGATTTTTGTCTGCCCGTAATAGGGTTACTTGAAGTCTGGCTTTTATATAGGAGAATACAGTGCCAAATATGTACGAATAAAATTTTTTACTGTGTTCTCCTTCGTAAAAGCCGGACATCTGGTCACCCAAGGCCCATAAACATCAAAATTTGTTTTACATGTTATGAAATAAATGCTAGGTGCTTTGTTTAGATATTATTTTGTATTTCATATTAAAATTTTTTTCCTAAACAAACATTTTTAAACAAAATAATTTGTATAAATTCTTTTTTATCTAATTTCGTTATGATTACTTGAGATTTCTAAATTTATTTATTTCTAAATTTATTGATTTATTTGAGATGGGATTTTTAAATATACTTGATTGACGTTACTTAATTGTATTTCGTGTATGACTATAAATATTTTAATGTTATTTACAAGCATTGTCAAAAATTTTTTATGTAATTTTTCAAAATTTTGTATATCCTGTTGTAATATTTGTTATTGTCAAACTATACTCACAAAATTATAAATAGTTTTTAAATGTTTTAAATAAATGTTTACTAACTTCCTTCAATTATTATTTTTTTTATTGATGTTTAATGTATTTGTTCAAATTTAGAAAAACATTGAAACTTAAAATAAATTTAATTTAAAATATATTTAACTTTAAATAGACTTTTAAATTAAAATACTTTTGATGAAACAACAAGTGTGGACACCAGATCCGATTGGTGTTAATAAAATACCAAATGTTAATTCAGTGGTGACTAGCAATCAACTTATAAATTTTACCTAAGTTTTTAGTTTCGCACACAATACACAGATTTTAAATTAACACAGCTGTAGTTTTTTAGTAGCAAACACAACCAAGGTATCAACGCAACAATGTATCAAGGATTATTTTTATTTTCAATAAATATAATTCCAAAGTTTTAACAAAAATTTATATCGAATAAAAACAAAGATTTCTAAAAGCATTGGAATTTTATATAAATCCAGAACATATCTATGTAAAAAAGATTTAACCCAACTATACTACTCATTTATTCATACCTATTTAAATTATGCAAATATTGCTTGGGGAAGCACAGAAAAAAGCAAGTTACAATGTCTTTGCCGCCGTCAGAAGCATGCGATCCGTTTAATTAATTTTGCGGATCGTTGCACTCATTCCAAACCTTTTTTTATTGAAATGAAAATTCTTAATATTTACGAGCTTAATGTGTTTAATGTTTTATGCTTTATGTATTTGTGGAAAAATGACTTATCCCTACCTATCTTTAAAGTTCTCTTTTGCGAAAAACCAATAAATAAATACACTCTTAAAAATAATAAATTTTTGCATAAACCTTTTTGTCGAACAAAGTTTAACCAGTATGGTATTGCTTATCGTGCGCCATATCTTTGGAATAAAGTTGTTTTGCCAAATTTTGATATATTTTACACTTTTCCAATTTTTGAACATAAACTCAAAAATTTTATTTTATTTTCCGATGACATAATAAGGTTCTTCTAATTGTAATTATGTACCTTTATTTAGAACTTTTTTAATTGTTAAATACGTTTTATGTTAATTGTTAAATACGTTTTATGTAACGACTCTTTTTGTTTTACTTTTCTGTTTATTTTATATATAGATTATATACATTGTAAATAATTATGCTAAAATGCTTGTAAAAGGTTCTGATGATAAGATCAGTACGATCTTCTTTCAGAAACCTTGTTTGCATTTGTTAAAGTATTGTATTACGACAAATGTAAACTTGAAACGTAAAAAAAAAAAAAAAAAAGTAAATATGTTGTTAATATATATATATATATATATATATATATATATATATATATATATATATATATATATATATATATATATATATATATATATATATATACACATATATATATATATATATATATATATATATATATATATATATACACATATAATATATATATATATATATATATATATATATATATATATATATATATATATATATATATATATATATATATATATATATATATATATATATATATATATTAAAAAGAAAAAATTAAAAAGAAAAGCTATACAACATAAAACCTTTTACTAGTAACCTTTGGTAAAACAAGATCTAGATTTGAACTTAGTGAAAAAAAATCTATGTAAAATTTTAACGAAACAGAAGTGTTAAATTGCTAGAAACCTGTCAAAAGTTTTTAATATTAAAAATATATCACAAAAAAAGTTTATAAAAAAAATTCAAACTTAATCAAAGTATTTGCCCTAAAAAATATATAAAAAAATAGTCATATAAGTTTTTTCTTATTATTTGAAAGCCTAAAAAAATATAGCTTGAAAATTCAAATTAAAAAAAAAAAAAAAAAATTAATTCAAATTAATTTAATATTCCAGAAGTCAAAGGAATGGGTCAAAATTCCGCTATATTGTCTCCACGTTATCGTAGCGACGCTTAATCATAGTTTTTTTTCCCTTCTATCAAACACTGGACGAAGTTTAGCTCAAGTTGATTGCACATTTTTATAACTATCGACAAATAGGTTATCTTTAGCAACATTCAGATATCTGAATCAAAACCAGGGAAAAACAAGTCAGATTGTTCAGTAGCCTGGTAAACAAATTTAATTTTTTTCGCATGAGGATGATAGATATATCATTAGTTTTTAAAGAAGGGATGCAGGTAGTTTTGGCTATACTTTGATATATTAAAGAGGAATTTTAATGCTGACCTTCCAACAGCGTTCAAATTTATTAAAAAGTGAATTATTATAACAAAAAATTTTAAGCCGTATGATAGATTCAGTACAGCCAGAGATTTAAACAAATGTACTATAGTTAATGGTTGGCAAAAACGAATACCAGATTTTATAAGAGCTCCGAAAATTAATTGAAAATGAATAATACGTTCTTTTACATTTGCTTGTTTGAAGTGTTGTTATATTTTGTGTATGACTTTGATTATCCCAAAGGAATTCGAGGTGTTTATTATTGAGGTAGAGGGAAGAGCCGTTTATTTGAATTGTACTTTTGTAATTTAACTTTTACCGGATATAATCTTTTTTTAAAAATCTATAATGAGTCAGTTTCAAAACTTGTCTCATCAATAAATGTCCAGTTAAATATTGGTCCATTATGGTTAACTAAAGTATTAAAGAAAGAAGTTCATTTGAAAAAAAGACTGTGGTTCAAATATTTATCATCAAATAAATCAAGCTTTTTAAAGAAACTATATATAATTCAACGTAAAAAGTATAAAGAACTAATTGATACAACAGTTTATGAATATGAATCTAATATAGAAAAAAAATCTAAAACAAATCTTTAACTATTCTATTCTTACGTTAATAAAAATAAATCAGCCAAACAAGAAAATAAATTATAAATAGATCAGAATGAACAATTGCGTGAGGACGAAAGTAAAATATCAAATATTCCTTTACATTTTCATTTTGTGTTCAGATCAACTATAACGTGCGACCTAAATGATAAATACTTCTTCCTGTAATAATAGCAAAACACTTAGAAGAGTTAAACGAAAATAAATTGATTGGACCTGATAAAATTCATCCATTAATCTTAAAGAAATGCAACGCAGCTCTGTCATATCCACTATCTTTAATTTTCTCAAAAAGTTACAGTGTATTTTCTCAAAAAATTACAAATATTTCCTGAAAAATGGAAACTAGCGAATGTAACACCGATTTTTAAAGGAGGTAGTAAATTAGATCCATCAAACCATCGGCCAATATCTATTACGTCAGTTATTTGTAGAACATTTGAAAGAATAATTCGAGATAAAATAATGTATCATCTACTACAAAACAATCTATTAAATAAAAATCAACATGGTTTTGTACCTTCTAAATCATGTATAACTAACTTACTTGAAACAATCGATGAAATAACGAACCATCTAAAAAATAAGGCTTTAGTAGATGCTCTATATTTTACTTAGCAAAAGCCTTTAATAAAGTTTCACACCTAAAATTAATGCACAAGATAAAAAATTATGGCTTTTCAAAAAAATTGGTTAAATGGCTTGACAGTTTCTTATCTAATAGAAGACAAAAAGTGGTTTTGAGTCAGCATTCATTCGAGTGGAGAGAAGTCTTAAGCGGTGACCCTCAAGGTTCAGTTTTAGGACCTATTCTATTTGTTATATATATTAATGACTTACAAGACACACTGAAATTTCCATTAAAACTATATGCCGATGATAGCAAATTAATTGCTTCAATAAACAACGAATTAGAAAGATCAAAGCTTCAAGATGATATTATATCTATGCAACAATGGGCATACCTGTGGTGTATGTGTTTCAATGAAAAAAAAATGTAAAGTTATGCACTTTGGAGTAAAAAACAAAAAATTCGAAAATTACATGATGAATATGAATAATAATAACGAACATATAGTACTACAAGAAACAGAAATAGAAAGATCTGGGTATTATTATTACAAATAAACTAAAATGGCACACTCAAGTCATAAAAGCAGCAAATAATGCAAACCAGATTTTTTAACAGGAATGGTTAATAAAGCTTTTAGAAATTTTGATGTCTGCACTATGAAAATATCATATACATCACTTGTAAGACAACATTTAGACTATGCTGTCTCAGTTTGGAATCCTAACCAACAACAAGATATAGATCATTTGGAAAAAGTTCAAAAAAGAGCGACAAAAATGGTCCCATTTTTAAAAAAAATGAAATATTTTATGAACTATTTCCTATGAACTATTTCTTAAATTTTTTTGTGAGCAATATGAAAAAGCTTTTCCGGAGAAAAAAATTGTTATAAATACCAAGTCAAATCAAGCTCCATGGATGTCTAAAGGCTTATTAAAATCTTCAAAGAAAAAAAAAAAGTTGTATGAAAAATTCTTAAAAAAAAACGTATAAAAATGAAACAAACTACAAACTTTATAAAAATATATTTGAAAAAACTAAACAACAATCAAAAAAACATTACTATTCAAAGTTGTTAAAAAAAACTAACGGAAATGCCAAAAGTACGTGGAGCGTAATTAAAGAAATTATTGGCAGAAAAAATAATGGAATAAGTATTCAACCAAAGAAACTCTTAGTAGATGGTAAAATTATATATGACAAGTCAATAGTAGCTGAAAATCTAAACAGCTTCTTTCTTAATATTGGTCCCAACTTAGCTGAAAAAATTCCTTCAGGCTCATCATCGTTTGATTCTTATTTAAAAATATATGATAAGGTCATGGACGAATCTAAACTAGATATTAATGAGTTACGATATGCTCTAGATAATCTTAAAAACAACACAAGTGTAGGTTTTGATAATATTAGCATAAATGTTATTAAATCAGTTTTTCATATTATAGAAACTCCTTTATATCACATTTTTAATCTTTCTCTTCAATCTGGAACAGTTCCAGAAAAATTAAAAATTGCACGGGTCTTGCCTATTTTTAAGTCTGGCGATGACACAGATTCTTCAAATTATAGACCAATATCAGTTTTATCATGCTTTTCTAAGTTACTCGAGCGTATAATGTATAATAGGCTAAACAACTACTTAACAGTAAATAACATATTGTACAACAAGCAATTTGGCTTTAAAAAAAATCATTCAACTGATCACGCTTTGACCGAGTTAGTAACTCGTGTAACCAATGCCTTTAATGATGACCGTTTTACATTAGGAGTATTTATTGATCTGTCTTTTAAAAAAAACTTGAACATTATGGAATAAAAAACAATAATTTACTATGGTTTAAAGATTACTTATCAAACAGACAGCAATACATTCAATATGAAAATGTTAAAACGACAAAAAGTATAATAAAATGTGGAGTTCCTCAAGGCTCAATCTTAGGACTGTTACTGTTTTCTCTTTATATAAATGATCTATCTCTTACCTCGAACATACTAAACTTTATTTTGTTTGCTGATGACTCCAATCTGTTTTATTCTCATAGGGATATTAAAACCCTCTTTAAAGTAGTTAATGAAGAAGTAAACAAAGTAAATGAAAGGTTTATTTGTAATATACTTTCACTTAACGTTAACAAAACTAAATTTATTCTATTTCACAAACCAACCAAAACAGGAAACCTTACTTTAAAATTACCCAATCTTAAAATCAATAATATAAATATTACTAGGCAAACAACTGTAAACTTTTTAGGTATTATTTTAGACGAAAATTTAACATGGAGGAAACATATAAACACTCTTGAAAGAAAACTTTCAATAAACATTGCAATGATGTATAAAGCAAAACCATTCTTGGATATAAGATCTCTAAAAAGTTCGTATTTTTCCTTCATACATAGCTATCTAACTTACGGCAATATCGTATGGGCAAGCAACAGCTACGCTAAGTTAAAGAAAATTTATACTAAACTAAAACATGCATGTAGAATTGTATTTGGAGTAAAAAGAACTGTGCCTTGTCAGCCACTTTTACGTAAACTCAATGCATTAAATGTGTTTAAAATTAACATATTCCTCGTCGTACAGTTCATGTATCAAATAAAACATAGACTGTCTCCAGCGATATTCTATCCTTATTTTAGAGAAGTAAGCCAAGTTCTCAGAAAATAACTTTGTAACTCAAAAGTATAATCTAAAATTATGTTCTTATTCAATTCAGTACAGGGGTCCAATTTTGTGGAAAAACTTTCAGCATATTGTTAATATTAAAGAAAAAACACTTCCGCAATTCAAATCTAAATTAAGGCGTTATTTAGTACTTACGGATTTTAATATAGCAGATCTTCTATGTCACTTTTAAAGCTTTAAGATTTATTAAACTAAATTAGCACCATAAATTTAAAAACCTAGACCATTTAACAGTACTAAGAATTTCAATGTCTTTATCATACTTTCATTGAATATATATATTCTCTTAAAGTTACCTACAATTTTCTTGATATATTTTATAATATTGGAACAGAATTTTTATTTGAATTTTGAATTATTTTGAAAGAAAATAATATATACAAATATATATGTCGATCACATCCAATCTATAACCAAAAACAGCAAATTTTTGTCATTTTTATTACTATATTTTAATCATTTCTTTTTATTTTTTTTTATTTATCTTCAATTATTTTAATACTTTTTTTTTTCTTTTTTTTCTTTTTAACTTTGTTTCTTAACATTTTAAATTGTCTTTTTTAAAATACTTTTGCTTATATATTACGGATTATTGTGTATTACAGATATTTATTTGCGTTACTATTGGGGCTCGTTGATAAGGCTATTTTATGCCTTCTTCTTGCTCCAGCCAATTATACTTTTTATATTGTTGTACTTTGTAAATATTTTTAACGGCGAAATAAACTAATAAACTAACTAACTAATAATCTTATTTATAAATGTATACATGAATTAAAGTTAGTTGTATGTAAAATATATAGTGACGAAATAAGTTATGTTAAAAAAAAAAAAAAAAAAAAGAGAACATACTTAAAGTTTGTAACCTGGAATCATTAGAGAAAAGAAGAATTCGGGGAGAGATTATAAAAAATGTACGGAATAGTTACGATCAAATCTCATTGCAAAAACAAATAAACTTTATAACCAACAGAGTATTAGACGAAAAAAAGCAGAAATCACAACTACAGATTCAGAATCTGTAGTTGTGATTTCTGCTTTTAAATTGTTTTAATTGTTGAAAGAATCTGAGATTCTTAAGAGAATACACTCCAAAATGTAACGCAAGACATAACTTTTACTTAAATCGAGTTTGTAACAATTGGAACAATTTAGATCATGAAACTGTTAATGTGAAGACGATAAACTCTTTTAAAAACAATATTGATAAAAGATAAAAGTAAATTTTAACTGTTAAAAAATAATCTCTTATGTGATTACTTTCCGTGTAATTTTTACACTACAGTTTTTAATTTAAGTTAAGTTTGATATATAGCCTTTGGCATTGTGACTGAACTTTATTAACCAATTCTTGTAGACAAAATTCTTGTAGAAAGAGTAGGGCTTTGTAAGATTATATCGTCTGCATAGGCAATAATACCAGTATATACACCACTTACTGTTGTTTCAATTTTGCAATCTGAAACAATTTGATTTAATATACTTTGAGTGTATATATTATATAAATGTGGTGATAAAATTGATTTTTATCGCAAGCCTTAAGATAAACGGAAATAATTTGATTTATGCCCAAGGATGTATTAGCAGTACCCGATAAGTATAGCGATAGGTGCGCGAACTACTGAGAACGGTAACTTTATGATGTAATAAAGTTTTGCAAACAACAAATCCCAGTTACAGCTATCGAAGCCTTATTTGCATCTAAACTACAATATTGATGAGTTATTATTATTGAATATTTTATTGCTTCACTTAAAAGGAACTCTTCATGAAGAATGGAGCTATTGTACTTGAAGTCAAATTTATAGGAGTGGCTATCGGAGATTTTTCCATAATAATATATTCAAAGAGCATTGCTAAAATAAATATGATACTAATTCCACGACAGTTATCGGGATTATCCACAGATTTTTATAGAATTTTACTATAGGAACAATTATGGATGTCGATAGGTACTCCGGCACCTCTCCATTATTGAAGATATTGTAATAAAACTTTGAAAACCATGTAAGTAGGATATTGTTTTAAGGATATTTAAGATGTTCTGTTTTAATTCCGCAGGAATCACTACATATTTGCTTGAAAGTTATGTAGAAAAACTACCAAAAGAATAAATGCTAATGATTTTTTTCATTCTTAAAAAACAGTTTTGTTTTAAACATAAAATTCACTCTCATATAAAGATTAAATATCTTTTTACGAGTTAGTCAGAGTGAAAATCGTAAAACAACATTATGCTTTTAAAGGGACTGAAAAGAGCTCTTCGGATGTTTTCAAGGTACCACGATACCAATTAAAATCCTGACTTTTTCACATACATCGGCAATAATAAAAAAAAGCTGAAATAGGAGCTTTTTACGCGGCGATTTTTGTCAAACTTAAATGCGCTATTTTGATTTTTCAAATTACTTAAAGCCACGCGACAACTTAAGATTTCTTTAATTTTGATTACCAATGAGACCCAACGTTGTGTAATTTACGGACAATCCTTTACCCAATTCTTTTCAGGGAGAAAAAAGTACACTTCAATGACTTAAAAAAGAAAAAAAAAAACACGCTTAATTACAATATAATTGTTACATAACAAGAGCACGATCAAAATATTTACTTTGCACTTAGTTTTTAACGTCAGTCAAATCGACGACTTTTTATCAATTTCTTTTCTTAAGAAAAATTATCTTATTAGAATGACTCATTCGTGTATTTCTGACAAGTAGACGTTGACTTATTTTGATCATGATCTAAATTTACGAGTTTTTATGTCCGACACAATTTTTAATAAATTGTTTTAGGTAAAACCATTTAATTTAAAAATTTTCTACGCCTTCTTATACCTTAAGCTAAGAAAAAAAAAAAAAAAAAAAAAAAAAAAGAAGCAAATAAATTACGCTGATTTATTTCAGTTTTTTTTAGGCTGCGGTAGACTCATTAGTAGCTCTGGTATATATTTTTTGCGCATGGTGCACTGAAACTTCCCTTATTTTTCCGTTATTTTTCATTTCAACAAGAGCCGCACGTGCCAACGACAAACGAATCTTCAGACGCTCTGAAACAACTGATGGCGTAATAAGTTTATATTGAGGAACCTCTTTATATAACTTTTCATAAGTTGCTTTATCAAAAAGAACCATGTTGTTCAATTTGTCACGAACTTTACCTTTTGACCATTTCTAAAAAAAAATAAATATTTAAACTTTTCAAAATTTATTTGAAACAAAACAATGACAACAACAACGAAAAACACACACACATTTACATCCCTATAAAAGCACATATAATAATAGTCAAACAAAATAAAATCACATATAAAATGGTAACACATAAGTTTATAAACTTTACAACACCTTAATTCAACACTTAGTTATATAGCAAAATTGTTAAAAAGGTCAAGGCCACACCATACAAGGCGTAGATCAAGAATTTTAAGGTCAAGGCCAAGATTAAGAATTTCAAGGCCAAAACCTCAATTTTTAGTCTTTTGGCAAGACTAAGGCTAAACAACTCTGAAACTTAATAACATCACTAATTTCAAGATAATTAGCAATATATAATATCAAATATTAAGCAACCCTTTTATATTTTCAACCTAGTAATATTCACCTTACTAGACTAGTTAACTGATCAACCAGAACAAAATAACTTTTTTATATACATTTAAATTTGTATTATTTGACATCTAGATAATACTAAGTGTAATTAATCAACCAGAACAAAATATCAACTAGCCAACCAGAAAAATAAATATTTTATTTAAAATACTACTTGCTCCAACAAAATGCCATCATATACACTTCTTAGTGCCAAATTTTATATGTCAATGCATTTTTTATAGATATATATACTCTATAAAATATATATATCTAAGCATGTTTTATAGATATATATACTAACAACAAATTTATTTTATATTACAATAAAATCATACGTATGACTAATACCATAGATTATTAAGTATAATATATATATATATATATATATATATATATATATATATATATATATATATATATATATATATATGTGCGTGTGTGTATATATATATAAATATATATACGCATACATACACACTACTTATTAATGCTTCAAAAAAGCATAAATCACATGCAAATTTTAAGTTATTTTTATATCCACATTCTGTACACTGAACACTAATTAAATATTAGACTAATTAAAAGTTTTTATTTCTTTAAAATAGAGAAACAAAATATCAAATTATGTTCACACGCAACTAGTAAGCGGCCGGGTTTGATATTTGACCAGGGCCGGGTTTGTGACCGGGGCTTCATTAATATTGATATTCCTTATAAATATATTATTGTTATTTAAAATTCACGATACATTTTATATAAAGGTATATATATCATCTCATCCACATCATCATCATTATTAAGCATACAGTTGACGATGATGATTCTGATGATGACAATGATCATCTTAATTATTGACATTGTTATCATCTTCTCTGATACACACTATAAATATAATTACTACTCTCATACTATCTCTAAGATCATTTTTTTCCTATCTTTTAAAGATACCATATATCCATCTGATCTACTTTGTTCTTTCCGGATGAAAGAACAAACAAGCCAGCAACCTGGATATTCTAGAAAAGTCAGTGACCATCATGTAATAAATTATTTGAAATTTTTAAACAAAGTTAATAATTTGAAGAAATATTTAAAAATTGCTAACAATAAGGGTATTTAAAATATCCTAAAATAAATTTCATAAGATAAATTTATTATAAAATTGCATTTACTGTTTTTAGCCGGGGCCGGGGACCCGGTCACTTACTACACGCAACCATGTGTAGATCAGTTTTTCTTTATTTCCTCAAAATCAATTTACTTGGAATTAGCTTGCTTTGCAAATATAATAAACTCTCCTTGCTTGGTAAGTAATAAATGCAGAATATGCATCAAAAACCTACTAAAAGCAACAGATTAATAACACTACTATTGATTTAAATTTTGTAAAATAAACAAGTTTATTGAGAAAATCTAAATCAAGAAAGTAAGTTTTGTAAGTTCTCTAATTTTAATAACAATGTGTAAATTTTGATATTGAGTATCTAACTCGAAATATCCAATCAAGCTGGCATACTTGAAGTTGTTAATCATACTGAGAGATGAAAAAATTATATATAGTATGATATACAATATAGTATGATATACAATATCGTATTGAATGATAGCAAAATAATAAGATGCTGTTTCAATTATCCTAAATGCTTTAAAAGTTCATGAACAGTGTCTTTAACAGCAATTTCTACCAGAAATGTGCTGTCACTAGAGAGGCTTATACTTAAACAATTTATTTAAGGCTTTGATTAAGACAAAAAAAAAAAAAAAAAAAAAAAATGATTTTAAAAATATTAAAACCGTCTAAATTTACTATAAAACACTTCATAAATTACTTGTAGTGTCTTAATTTGTGTAAAACTTTAAACAAAAATAAATCTTGAGCAACTGACAAAAATCTAACAAAATTTTTGAAGTAACAGTAATAAATTTAGTAGTAAATAAAATTAAGTATTAATAGTATTAATATTACCTTCTTTTTGGCTTTGCCACCACCACCAGCGGATGGTTTGGGTTTTTGAGCTTTGGCTGGTGCCTTGGCATCCTTATCGTTCTTCTTTGGCTATAAATTATAAACAAGACTAATGAAAAAATAAGAATATAGCAAAAATTATTAATAAAAAAAACAACAAAAACAATAAAACATTTTTATTTGTAAAAAAAGTTAATAACTACTGCTTAAAATAAAACTATGAAAGTTCTTAACAAATCTCTATTACTGTTACCCAACACATCTTTTCAAAATGAAACTGATTTACATAGTATTCTTATAATAAAATAAAAACCTATACAAAAGTTTACATGCAGCAATTTAATATAACATAACTAACTTGTAGTCATCAGCTGCGAGAAGTAGTAGAAAAACTTAGATTCATTGAATACCTCTTTTAAAATAAAGTTTAGAAATATTTATATATTTAAAGAGTCACATCTACTAAAGACGGCATCAGAAACTATTCAAATAGATAGATTTGTTTATTTTTACTATACTTTTGACTACTATGCTGAGAAAATGAGATTGAAAAGTATTTTAAAATGCAACGGTACTGACCAAGATTTTTCAAACTATTTTATATACTATTTATTACAAATTTAAGTAACATATATCAACCTTAATACAAAAAAACATTGTGTAATTGAATGATTGAACCTGTATTGAACCTTTAAATTAGTAAATTTAAAGAGCTTTATATAAAAAGGAGATAACTGTAACCTTTTTAAAAAAGACAGTGCAACATAGGAAAATGTATTTTCAAATAAGTAGTAATTGGTTGACTGTTTCATAGCAATAATAATAAATAAAAATCATTTCAGTTGTTTCGGCTAAATCAAATCGTTAACTAAGATACAATGTTTTGAGTAATAATTTTTATCTTATAAATATACTAATTTATCTTATCTAAACCATAACGTTGCTGCCAAAACAAAACAAAATTTATGGCGTCGTTCAGCAAGACTTTATCAAACATTTTTTAAACGTCTATAAGATTTTTTTTTTCAAATTAGGCATAAAGATAAAAGCAAATTACATTTAAATGATTACAAATATTGCAGACTCTAAACAATTTTACTTGACACTCAGTTAAGGCAATTTGTTAAGTTGCCTTAGATTTGCAACAGTTTTATAAGCAACATAGAATTATATAAAAAAATGATTCTACTCTTTGGAGCTGACATCAGCTAAAAAAACAACGAATTTTTAATAAAATTGAAGCATAAACTTTAAAACAACTAACCATTTTGTGGCAGCCTTTTCGCACAAACAATATTAAAAGACTTCGGCAACATGCGTTAACATTATGAAACTTGAATTTTCATTACCAGACCTTAAAATGGTAACCACATATCCAATAAGATATGCCTTTTTTTCGCCTCAAAATAATAACTTCAGATTATTATTTTTTTAACGTAAAGTGTTAAAAAAAATATTTTATAATATGTTACACCTTTTAAAATGGTTAACTTTTATTAACTCCTTACACACTCTCTCTCACACACACACACTTACTCACACCAGTGGCGGATTAAGACTTCTTGAGGCCAGGGGCTATTTTTGTTTTTGGAGGCCTTTTATGGACCAGAGCCTGAAAATGACTTAAAAAAAATAAAAAGGCCTCTAAAATTTTTATGGGCCCCTAAATTTGCAGGCCCGGGGCTATAGTCCCTCTAGCCTCCCCCCCCCTCCTTTTTTTTTTGCAATAATTAATTTCTTGATGATTACAGTGTAATTTTTCATCCAAACGAACAAAAAAACTGGTAGAAATAATTTCTAACAGCTAGAATACAGTAAACTGCACATATTAGATATTCATATTTCGGTGCCGGTATAAATGTATTTCAAGCATATATTCAGTTCATATAAAAGAAAAGAATGTGAAGTTTTTGTTTAAACAAAAACTATGACAGTTGTTTTTTTTTTAAGTTTTTTTTTAAGTTGATTTAGGTACCCCAAGAAATCCTTACGGTCTTATCACAGAGCACCGCGGAAGAGCATTTAATACGAAGTTCACGCCTCCTTCCCAACCAATGTCGCAAAACTTGCCCAGAAGTGGTTTTTTTTTTTTTTTTTAATTTATTTCGTCACTATATATTTTACACACATACATTTATAAATAAGATAAAAATTAAAATAATGACAGGTGCAAGTAGAAGACTGCAGTCTTATCATCAAGCCCCTTTCAATTGCGACTCTGCAATAAGTTTCACTTGAGCTTAACGTGACATTAAAAATTCATAAGTAGAAATAAAGGAAATGCATAGCTTTGTACGTAAAAAACAAAGCCTTGTACGTAACGATCTGATAGACGGGTATAGCAAAAAAAAAACTATTTGTATTGTGGACCACGGACCTTACGTTTCTGAGGAAAGTGCGCTACCACTGCACCACGGCTGCTACAGTTACACCAGTACTTACAGTACACCACGGCTGCACAGTTACAAGTAGGATGTATGGGACAGACTTGAGACATGTTGTCCATATTTTCTTAGGCAACAATAAGGATGAAATGCAGAATGTCATTATAGTCGCTATACTTACATTAACACATGGAATTTTTCAGAGGAATATTTTGGAAAAGTAAACAAAGAGCACGGAGAACATTTTCATTATATTGAGATATTCTTGTGATGGAGAAAAGATAGCAAGGCAGATGGAATGCCCTAATGATAGGTGACCACATCTGGTGTTTAATACGCAATGAAGACAAACGCATTAAAAAAAAAACACATTTTTCTTTTCACTTTTAGTGTTTTATAAGATTGTCAGAGATTTTTTGATTACATCATAATGTAAAACTATGCAATACGATTAATAATTAATAATAACTAATCATATGTTTAACTCTTAATTATGCTTTATTAATTATTATTTATTAATTATGCTTTATTAAAAATTAAGCAAATTAATAATTAACCTTAAATTATGAAAATTGTTATGCTTAGTTAATTTCTTGTTTTTATGATCAAACAATTGATGCAATAAAAAATCAATGTCATATTTAGGCTCAGGCTCATTTATGTGATGAAGGGGCAGTAGGTCAATTATAAAACCATGGAGACATTAAGTTAAAAAAAATATCATAAAAATGTTGGGTTGGTAGTTAAAAGCGTAGGTACTTTTAGTAAGGTAGAGGGTACCCAAAAAAGCGTATAGTAAAATGCACGGCGGGGGGAGGGGGCAAAGGGATTTGTCAAAAAAAAAAAACGTACGTACTTTATGGACAACCCCTTAATGGGGCTATCAAAATACTGAAGGTTTCGTAAGAAAAAATAAGAAAGGTTTATTAAATGAACAAACTTTATTCACAATAGAAATTTTTTTCACGGTAATAAATTCAGTTAGAATTATAGATCTGCTTAAAGAAAATGTAGTTTAAATTAATGCAAGAAACAGTTAAAAAAAAATTTTAATTAGAGCTAAAGTAAATATCATGACAAACAATGCTGAGCTTTTAATGATATATTTAACAGCACAAATCTAATATGGAGACATTTCTTAGGAGGTGCAGATGAAGCATATGGAAAATAACATTAAATTTAACATCACAAGCACCACGTTTATCCGCCACAGCTTAAACTTCAAAAGAATCAGGAGATAAACCTCAAAATAGAAAGTCGCAAACGTTTTTAACGTCGAAAAAAAAGAAGACTTATTTGAAGCGTTTGCATGTATGGCAATAAAAGATTATCATTAATACAATTTGTAAAAGATTATCATTAATACAATTTGTAAAAGATTATATATCATTAATACAATTTGTAGTTCAATTTATTGAAGAGTCGGATTGTTTGAACGATGCTATGAAAATGTCTCTAAATTACGTAATACTATCAGAAACACGGTGTTATACTACTACGAGCAGATTATGACAAAAAAAATTATAGAGAAAATAACTGATTACATATTTAAAGGCTCTAAATTTTTTTTAACACTTGATTAGCGGACTTCTTTTATAAACTGCAGGTATATGAATTAGAAACTAAAAGTTAATGAAATTTATGTTTGATTTTAAATTAGGTTTGATTACTGGAATAACAGAAAACTCAACCATCCTAATAGAAAATATTATAACAAAAGATTTATATGACAATAATATGCAAAAAGGCATTATAAAATCAGATATATCAGACCATTTTACCATTTTTCTTACAATTAACACAGTTTCAACTCCTAAAACTAATAAAAGTCAAACTATAAGAAAACGTATTTTCATCAATAAAAATTTAGAAACATTTAAATATCAATTATCATTGTTAAACTGGAAGCATATAAATTTTAATAAAGACATAAATGTAATCTATAATATGTTTTTTAATACATTTTAATATAATACTTCTCAGTGTATGTTGGAAATTTTCTCGTTTCCGAAAAACCAAAAACATTAAATAGTTATTGGATTACAAAGGGTTTTAAAAAATCTTTAAAAATTAAACAAAAATTGTATATAAAATATTAAAAAACAAAATCTAATTAAAAACTAATTTACGCATGTTTAAAAACTACAAAAATCTATCTGAAAAAATCCGTAAAAATCCTTTGGCAACTTTTGATTGACCAGGTTTTCCCTGGTCAATCAAAAAATGCCAAAGTTATCCCGATTTGTAAAGACGGAGAGGTATCAAATGTCAATAATTATCGCCCTATTTCTATCCTTACTACGTTTTCAAAAATATTTTAAAAAAATCATCTTCAAAAAAATATATAACTACCTGATTTCAAATAATTTACAATATAATATTTACGATATAATTTACTACAAATAATTTACTATATAAAATCAATTTGGCTATTAAAAAAAAATAACTGAACAAGCCATTATTCAGTTTAAACGCAAAATCTCAAACTCTTTTGCTGAATCATATATAGGGTAGAGCGAACCATATAGGGACACTTAAGAAACAAAGGTGCGGATAAACTAATCATAGTTAACACTGTTTTTTATATATTTCCTAAAATTCATTGATATAAGAAAATCAAAAAACAAAAAAAAAAAAATTTCTAAAAATAAGTTATGACAACCAAAGTAACAAAAATCTAGACGAGCAAAACTTTTACATTTTGCAAGTAGGTGGGGCAAAACGGGACAGTTAAAAAGCATCAGTTATTCGTAAATTGTAAAGTTTTAAAAATGATGAAAAATGAAGGCTATCTATTGCTTAAATATGTTCAGCCATTAAACTCTCAAAAAAGTAACATATCAATAGAAACTACACGCTATACACAAGAAATAACCCATACACAACAAAAAAGAAATAAAATAAAATATTTTTTTTTGTGTGTATTATTATAAAATATTTCGCTCTACTCTAACCTATATATTATTAAATTGGTAACTGCTACTAAATTTGAAATTAAACAAAAAATGTTATGGATCACACAAAGAATATCCTGAAACTGTTCGGCAACATTTTTTTATGAGCTGGTCACTTGCAATATGCCAATGTAAATACGCTATATGTATCAGCAGCTCTTCTAGTTCTAAGTTTCTGTTTACTAACACTAAAACTGAATTTCATCCCGTTTTGGATGATTGATCTTTCTTATATAATTTCTTACCTTCTCTGTTTACATTAAACACTATTAATCATCGAAGTTAAGTTATAAAAATAAGAAGTTCTTTAAATTTATTGCTAAAATTGGTTCTAAATAAAAAAAAAAAACTTTAAAAATGGTATTATTATACTCAATTATATAAATACTAGTGTTGTCCCGATATGCCCCACAAAAGTCAGTTTTCTGAAAATAATACTATTCAAAAAGTTCAATTCCAAAATTATTCTTTAAATCAGATTCTAAAAGAGGATAAAAAATACTGTCTGAAAAATATAAACTTTTTATAAATAAAGCAAATTCGCAAGAGTTCAAGATAAATCTTTTGTCGCTGTATCGCTTAAGAGAATACGCAAATTTTGTTTTTCGCAATTTTACTGATGCATTTTGGTACTTTTAATGTATTTTGGCATTTCTAAAATCAATTTTTTTTTACAATAATAAAGCACAATAATTTAAAATGATTTATCAAAAAAAATTTTTGAAACAAAGTTATTTTCGGCTGAGATATAAGGCTTCAGGCATAACTGTCCCGTTATGCCCCACTGTCCTGATATGCCCCACTCTACCCTACACTTGTTGTTTTTGTCAATTTATAAAAGGCTTTTGATACATTTCATATATCATGAAATGATCATGATATCTTACTTAAAAAACTTGAGTACTACGGAATAAATGGTTAATTGATCAAATGGTATTAAAGCTACTTGTTAAATAGAAATTCGTCTACCACTTCGAAGAATTGCTTCCTATTGATCTTCAAATTAAAAAATTAGCTAAAATAAAATGTGGTGTTCCACAGTGTTCTATCCTTGGCCCACTTCTCT